GAATAAATTTGTGTTTGTTAAAGCCATCTACTTGTGGTGTTTCTACTTGTGACTTGTGGTATTTCTGTTATGGCAGCACTAGGTAACTAAGACAGTTATTCTATAGTCTGAAGAGACCTTGTTCATCTTGACATCCCAGAGAACATCAAGCTGGAACATTACATTCCTGATATTATGCTTATTGGACCTGGTGAACAAGAAACAGTAAACATCTAAGATGCCTGTGTAAGACGTATGCCTACTACAGGATAGTAGATAAATTCTACAAAAGTTCAGGGCCTTCCAGCATGGGTAAAGTTTCTAGGAGCCCAGTGGTCTTGGGATGTTAAAACAGATCCTCTATAGCACATGATAAATTGCTATCCCTTGCACCTTCCACCATGAAGGAAGCACAAATCTTGGTGGCCTCTTTGGATTTTGAAACACATATATTACATTCAGTAACCTACAAGTCTGCTAGTGTTAAGAGAAGCCTGAACAAGAAAAGGATCTGCAGCCTGTCCCTGCTATAATGAAGGCTGCCCTATAACTTTGGCCCTAAGATCTAGCGGATGCAATGAATTTTGGAAATGTATGTGGCAGACAGAGATGCCATATGACATCTCCATCAATAGATGCATTAGAGCATAGCTCCCTAAGGGTTTTGGAGTAAAGCTATGCTATCCTCCACCAACAGCTATACCCCATTTGAAAGGCAGCTTCTGACTTGACTGAGTAGTAGGTCATGGGACTCCAAATGATTATGTGCCCCAAACTACCAATCATGAACTAGGTATTATCTAATTCATATCATCATATCATATAAAAAACAAGATTGCACAGTAGCATTTCATTGTTAAATGAAACTGGGACTAAGCAGGTTTAGGAAGCTCAAGTATACTGCATAAGCAAGTAGCTCAGACGTTCCTGATACCTGCTCCTACTACTTCACAATCTCGCTTTCAACCCACGTGTATGGCCTCATGGAGAGCTCTCAATGATCAATTAATAAAGGATGAAAACATGTAGACTTGGTTTGTAAATAGATTACATGGTTATTGGTACCAGCTGTGACTCTTAAGCCACTTACGGTGGCTGAAATACAGTGATGAAAGGATATCACCCCAGCAGGTGGACCTTCAGATAGTACATTTGATTGTACACTTTGCAGTGGAAGGAGAGATAGCTGAGGTGATGACCCATGGCATGATCACATGGTCAGAGACTTGAAGAACAAGACTGGAAGACTGGTGACAAGAAGGTGTGGGGAAGTTATACGGATGCAACTCCGAGAATGAGTACAAAGTGTGACAATATAGTGTCCTATGTAATTTCTCTCTGTGTAAATTTCATCCACTGTTGGGGAGGCTCTTAGTAACCTGGAACAGGTAAGGTACCTGGCAGATGTCAGTCAGATTCTTTACCTGGCTATCCTGGTGCTTGCTCAATGGGTCCATGTACAAAGTGACCATGGGAGCAGAGATGGAAACTGTGTAAAGATTCAACAACATGGACACCTCACTATCTATGACTGATTTAATTACCACCACCTCTGAGTTCTCAACTTTCCAATGCTGAGACCCTGATATGGTGCCATTCCCCAAGGGGTTCAACCAGACAACTGATGGCAAGTAGGTTACACTGGCAGTAATTTATCCTCATAGAAATAGATACATATTTAGGACATGGGTTTGCCTTTACTTCCTTCAAATGCTTTTGTCAGCTCTACCATGCATGGAGTTAACAGAATGCCTTACCAATTATCATGGTATTTAATATTGCCTTCAATTGACAAACTCATTTTATAGCGAAGGAAGTACAGCAATGGGCTCAAAACCATAGATTCACTGGTCATACTCAGCTTGCTAAATGGAGTGGTGAAATGGCCTACGAGTAGGGTGGTTCATGTATGGTTGCCAGCTGGGAAAAGTCTAAGTGTGTCTTACAGAATACAGTATGTCCTGAAAGCCATCCCCTCCATAGCCAGAAAGCACGGTCAGAACAAAGAGGCGAAGGTGGGAGCGGCCCCTCTAACACATCAAATAACCCATTTAAAGAATTTTACCTTCCTGTCCTGTAACCTCAGAATTGGTGGTTTTAGAGATCTCGCTGCCCAAAGGAAGAACGTTTCCACTAGGGATTGGTTCTAGTACTGTCGAATTGGAAGCTGAGACTGTCCCCTGGCTATTTTGGGCTCCTCCAGCTGCTGAACTAACAGAGAGAAGTGGGCTACTGGCTGGCAATTGATCTAGATTACCAAGACAATTTTGGGTTGCTGCTATACAATGGGGGCAAGGAGAACTATGTTTGGAACACAGGGGATTCACTGGGGCATATCTTATAATAAACTTGTCCAATAATCCTGGTCATTGAAAAACTGCAGTGACCCAAGAAAGACAGGACCACCAAAGGTTCAGAACTCATAGGAATTAACTTTGGGTCACTCATCAGGTAAAGAACCTTGTCTATCCCAGATGCTGAAAGAGAGTAAGAGTAAGGAGAAGATGAAATTGGTAGTAGAAGAATAAAGTTGTAATGATCAACTTGGACTTTTTTGACCAACTAGAGAAGCATGGACTTCAGCAACTATGCTTTAACCGTTTCTTTTTCTCTCCCTTTTTTATCCACTGGTGGTGGCTAACATTTTAGATTCTAGGTGTTTTATCTGGACAAAGAACAAAAATGGATGCTGAGGGACAAAGGGATAGGTTGTGCTACATATTCTCCCTCTGCTCCTCTAGATCCACTCTCTACCCGTCTCCACTTTTCTCTATGCCACAAAGAAGGTGACCTTTATGGACTTTATCAAAGACTTTTTTTTCTTCTGGCTTCTGGTTAGTTTCAGCCAGCAGGAGACTGGAGGGTGGAAAGAGTGAAATCAGGTATCCTAGGTTGGCAGTGGCTACATTTCTCTATCTTAAGGACAGAGTTCCTGTATGGAAGCCTCTCCTATTAGCCACAGCTCTCTCTCTTCTCAGAGTTCAGTTACTGTTCTCTGTTCACAGAGTGCTGCCATTTATGACAAGCTTCACTATCCCTTTTTGGTTTCTCTTAATACTGCCCACACCCTTGTAAACAGTCACTCCATTAAACTCTCTTTACCCAGTTTGAGTATGCCATCCGTTTACGTATCTGCAAAAATCATGACTTGTATACCAAACTGCAAAATCAGCATGATAGCAGCCACAGGGACTAGTCTCTATTAAGATCACTAAGGTAACATAACATATGTACATTAAACCATAACATTAAAAGCAACATATTGTGTAAAGAATGAAATTAGATTTTTAAAGTTATATTTCTGCCACAACTTCATACAACAGATAGGTCGTGAAAAGCTACATATTACATAATTCTTGTCCAACTCAATAATACTTTAGTAAGCCAGAGTACACGGCTGGCTAAAGGAAATACCTGTCATATCTTAAAAATATATTTCAATAAAGAATTGTTTTGTAATAAAACAGTATCACTTTAAAATATAATTTTCATTGCATAATTTTAAAATAAAACATAAAATGTCACAGTGGCACAAGTGAAATATTTTGGGTCAGGAAGGAAAGTAAAACATATACTTAAAATATTTTGTTTTAGTGTTTTCATTTTTGTGTAATTGCCCCAAATTTAAGAGTTGTTTAAAATAGTTTTACGTATTTTACATTCATGCTAAAAGACTAAGTACAGTCTTGAGGGTTAACAAGAAAAAGGTAAACAAAGATAATACAAGCATTACCTCACATTCCACAGCATACTGTAACACAATTTGTCAATGAAGATGAAAATATCACTTTTATCATATCTTCATATTAAAATTAAACTTTAATATGTCATTATGGATAGGAGCATATAAAACTGGATTGAGAGTGTTCTGTACTAATTTTCCACCTTTAACTTCTTGGTTAATGGCAATTCTTGCTAAAAGTCAAATGAGATTCATTCAGACTTCCTAATTATTCTTTCTTTTATGCACTATAGTGTGGTTTTTTTTTTTTTTCTGATCAATCTTATTCTAGATATTTTAATGATGATTTATGAAGCAGAAGAAAGTTTTAGATAATGTTCAATGATTATAGTTCAAGAGCTAAAGAAACAGAGTTAAAATGGAGTATACATTCTCTAATGAGCATTGTATTTTCAAGTTTATAAATAGCAATATTTGATTTCTATAAGGTCCCAGCCTGGACACTATAAATTATAAACACATAACTTTCAGCTCCTATGTGGTAACTATAGCATGTAACTGTGATATTTCACTTAATCTTCAATTATCCTGGTGTTATGGATTGAATTGTGTCCCAAAAAAACATGTGTTGTAAATCCTAACCTCTATGCCTGTGGTTATAATCCCATTGGGGAACGGACTGTCTTTGTTAATAAGGCAGGATTAGTATAGGGTGTGTCCTGAATCAATCTCTTTTGAGATATAAAAGAGATTAAACAAGCAAGCAAGAGAAGCAGAGATGGGGGAATAGAGATGCCAACCCACATAAAGATTGCCCAGGAGCAGAATCTCAGAAGAGACAAGGACCTTCCTCCAGAGCCGGCAGAGAGAGAAAACCTTTCCCTAAGAGCTGGTGTCCTGAATTCAGACTTTTAGCTTCCTAAACTGTGAGAAAATAAATTTCTCTTTATTAAAGCCATCCATTTGTGTTATAGCAGTGTTGTTATAGCAGTGCTAGATAACTAAGACACCTGCCTCAACCAAAATTACTGCATTAACAATTAGGATAAAATTAAAAACAATTCTAGAAATTTTATATAACAGCTGTTTTTATTATCCCAATGGCTCTAAATAAAAGACTGTTCAGTTGACAGTATTGCTTTTTGCAAGTCTGTAAGACTAAAAATGAAAGGCCATACATGTCTTGTAAGAATTATCAGTTTTTTAATGTACACAAATAAAAATACTGTCTAACTTATTCATAGATACCTAACAATGATACAAATTACTTTGTATTAACTTATAGTACTCTCCGGAATTCACATACTTTAGCTTTCTCCTCAGAGTAGGTAAAGCTTACCAGAGTGGGTCCTGAGGTGTCCTGTGAGGGCGTCCCTTCTTCTACAAGCGTAGCTGCAGAAAGGACATTTGAACGGCTTCTCTCCAGAGTGTAACTTTATGTGCCTCAGAAGGTTGCCCTTCTGAGTAAAAGAAGCTCCACACTGGTTACAGTGGAAGGGACGTTCACCTGTAAACAAGTGAGAAAGATGAAGAAGACTGTGTGTGCAAGTGTCTAATGTGTCACACAAAGTTAACTAGAGCTAGTTCTCTGTGCTAGAAGAATGCAGCAGATTTCATCTCCCTCATAAGCCTTGTAAATGTCTATCTTCCTAGAATTTAACTTGTTAATACCAAAGTCTCAAGCTCTAAAAGTCAAAGTGGCTATTCTCCATCCTCATATAAATTGGACAGGATTCCTGTCATTGATTCAAAACAGTAATGATAATATTATTTACCATTAGTTAAATTACTAGATGCCATCGCTTTACTGACTTTACTGGTTGCTTTACATTCATTATTTTTATCCTCACAATAACATTAGTACTTAGGTATTATTAATTTCAATTTATAAATGAAGGAATTAAAGTTCAAAGTACCAGTAGACTAAAGTCAGAGCTAGTAAGTACTCAAGCTGAGAAATGAACCCTAGTCAGTTTGACTACAAAATCTTGCTCTCTTCATTTTACCCGATTATCTCTAAAAATTATGAATGAACAAGGTCACAAAGCTCATTACCATAAGATCTCCAAATATAGCCCAGGTCTCTTGATTCTCCTGGTCACTAAGAAGGAAACCTTCAACAAATTTTGCTGATACATCAGGGAGAATCCAAAGAAAATTATTACACCAGACATTTTTAATATATTCTCTTTTTGTTGTGAAAAATATGTTTGATAGGAATCTTTTCTTCCTTTTATCTTATTACTCATATTGCTATAAAATTATTCAAGGCTAAATTATCATTTCAGTCTGTTGTCATCAACTGGCTATCACTAGTATCATCAAACATAAAGACATACAGGTGATGTAGTAATAAAATTGGCAAGTAGGGTCAGACTGATACAACAGTAAACCATGAAGACAATGCTACTATTTTAAGTTTGCCTATCGTTAAAAATAAACATAAAATAAGTTATAAATCTATATAAATAAATAATATAAATGCATCATAGTAAAGCTCGATGTTTAGAATAAAATTAAAAACACTTCCCTTTTGGTTAAACTGAACCATTCCTCTAACTTAAGGTAAGGTGATTATAATTTTAAGTTTTCAAAATTTTTACTCTGAATTGTCATATTTCATATATCTATAACTGAAATAGTCATAACAGTGAACAATGAAACCCATATATATATTATATTTTGCTATTTGATATAAATGTAAAGCTCAATAATTCTTTTTATTAAAGAAAGCCAGGAGACATAAAGAAGATAGACTGCCATCACTTTCTGGCAGTAAGCCACGGCAAATTCTATCATACAGTTTTTTTATAAAACCTACAGATTGGAAAACTGATAGACTGACTGCATCTCAAATTCTGTGGGATGTCTAATTTTTTAACTGAGTGAGGTACATACCAAAAACGTATTAATTTGCATATGTGTGTTGGGCTTGTAGGGGCTTTTTCTTAAGGAAGCTGGAGATCTTATGAGCTAAGTTTATACAAAGTCCAGTACTGACAGATTAGATTGAAAAAAAAAGATCCACCATGTTAAAATTACCTTAAATTCTATCTTATTTAACTTACTGCTTCATTTGGTAAAACTGACAATTTTTTTCAGCAGTAAGTGCAACTTACAAGAGAAATACTTTACTTAATATCCCTCATATAAAGTATTACAAAATAAAGTTCAGAAAAATACGTAAATTTAACAGGTCTTTTTCATTATAAATATGCATGCACAAGTATCAATTAACATATACAATTTAACCTGACTTTGATTTTTTTTAAATAAAATAATAGTCTACAACTTTCGAAAATCAGAATTTTCTAGTTCTTAACCTGCCATGGAATTAGTAATAAAAGGGAACAAGTTACTTCCTTCATGAAATTAACTTTTTAGAGAGAGTAGGAAAATAGCAAATGTAAATTATATATTTTCCCTCCAAATATTTGATTTTACTTTTGAAATCTCTCTGTGTAATTTCTCCCAGCCAAGTAACAAACTAGTATGCAATAACTTTACAAAGAAATTGATTAATGTAGTGAACAACAACAAAACAAACTGAAATCGTGTTTGTCTTTGGGAAATACTCCTACAGCACGCTGACACATTTTGTTTTTAAATCCCTGTAATCCTTGAGTTGAAATATTTTAAAAAATACATAATTTAGAGTAGTAAATTCATCATTCAAAATATTGCTAACCTACAAAAGAAAACACAATAAGACTAACCTTTAAAAAAAATGTTTAAATTCACAAGATAATCACAAAAACTCATCAGTTGATTTTTACCAGACTAATGATGGGATAGGAACCCCTGGGTAGTGCAAATGGTTAAGCGCTCAACTACTAGATGAAAGGTTGGCAGTTAGAACCCACCCAGAGGTGCCTCTGAAGACAGCCCTGGCAATCTGCTTCTGAAAGACCACAACCTTGAAAACTCGATGGAGCAGTTCTACTCTGCACACATGGGTCGCCTGAGTCAGAATCGCCTCTATGTCAACTAACAACAATGATGGAGTAACTGAGTTTCTACATTTACAAAACACCCCAGATATCTTCATTTTTCTTTTTTTTTTTTCAAATAAGAAATTATTTCTGAATTTATAGGATCATCCTCAAAGAGGGTAGGAGAAATGAAAAGGGGTCTAGGTATATTTGGAAACATTGCCATGTTGCTGAATGTGTAAGTATTACCGGGGAGGCATCTGTTAACTGCATCCCCATGCCCATGGGAAGTAAAGAGAGAGGCATAATGAAAGCAACCAGTCATGCTCCCTGTTTTGATAAGAAAAAAAGGGTACTGACAGCAACAATGCACTTTGATTTCAAACTTACTTGCTTTATGAATAAGACTTGATCAATGCTTTTTACTTTTGAATACAAATTCAATGACTTATCTTGGGTTGAAATTTGCTTAAATACTCAATGTCTTGATTAGATAAAAATGATAACTATCATTTCAAAAATTACCTACTGTTCTTTGTGTTCCCCATTAAATCAAGTTGGAATTACAGTGAAACCCTCAATAACACTATTGTTGGAAACAAGGATGAAAACAGATGGTTAACTTATAAGATTTTTTTTTAAGTATACATAGATATATTTCAAAAATTAACAAATCCAAATATAGAAGTCATATCCAAATCTGTTTAAAAATAAATGCATTAACTAAATCTTTGAAAAAAAATCCCTAAAAATGTCAGTAATTCTTTTAACCAATGTTGTAGGATATTTTCTGGCCTGCATTACAGAGATATGTGTACATTTATCTGCTAATTAAATAAAAGGTTAACTGCCTAATTATTTATGCAACTTCAAACAACACATCTCAATTATTTCTTTGTGATAATAATTTTTTTCGTTAAACTGAAATGACTGAATCAAGTGGTTCATTTGGAGTCTGTTCAGACTTTGAAAAATATTAATCATGTTCTTCATACGTAAATCAAAGCAAATTTCAGAAATTTATTAAATACTTTATTGACATTACAGAGTAATCCAATTCAAACAATCAAGTGAGTTGTTTCTATGCTAATTAACCTTCTTGTGGATGGGCACATAGCGCTAGGCAAACAATTCTGGATATAGGAGAATAATTAAGATGTGGCCACCTACTAACCTTCATTACTATTCTCAATCTACTTTTAAAAAAAAAAAAAATCTACAGATGTACTGAGGATCAGCTATTATTTTTATTATGGATTAAATTATATTTTAATGCATTATGTACTGCATTATGTATTATAGTCCCTGGATGGCACAAATAGTTAATGTGCCAGGCTGCTAATTCAAAAGTTGGCAGTTTGAATCCACCCAGAGGTGTCTTGGAAGAAAGCCTGGTGATCCACTTCTGAAAAGTAAGCCAATGAAAACTCTATGGAGCACAGTTCTACTCTGACACACATGGGGCTGCCATAAGCTGGAAGAGACTAGACAACATCAGGTTATGTACTTTCTTAAACACATATTTCTAGATCTGTGTTTAAATACTGAATTAAAATGCGAGTACACATGCATCCATTTGCTTTAGTGAATCAAAGATGGAGGGTGTCCCTGTGTTGGACTGAACAACTTACAAATATGCAAAATTCCAAGCATCTGTAGAAAGGGTCTTGGAGCAAGAACATGGCTCCACAAAGCTGCAATTATATGATGCTTAAAAGTTAAAGTTACAAAGATGAGAGAATTCAAGCCTTGAAAGGGGCTGTTTGTGCATGAATGGATTTACTCCTCCTACTTGTTTTCATCTCCCTATATTCCCAGTGAAGAGTGCCTGGAGTATCCGATGACAATATTACCTGATTACCTACTAAAGTAGCAATACCAAAGAAATAACACCAAACCATTAATAAGACACTGGAATTGGCACTTTAGTAGAGTATGGAAGAGAAAGAAGAAGAAGTGACTGAGATCCGATACTCCATGACATTATGATTAATCAGGTGGTTGTGTAGCATTTTCACTATAATTTTATGTAAAATATTCTATGAGCTAAAACACACACAAAAAGTAAGTCTTCTAAAGGCTTTATAAGGATTTAAAAGAGTGTCTTTAATACAAGCTATTAAAATTGGTGGGAGGGAGGGAATCAGTTCTATAATGAATACAGTATTTCATGGTATTGAGAAAACACTGACACGATAAAATTCTGACTACATTTTTATCAATCTAGTTTAAAGAAACACAAATAGACCTATTTTCAAATAGTACTAAAATTGAGTTGAAAATGTCATGACTCAGTCATATATGTAAATTGAGTCATCAGAAATGCATGTTAAAATAGCTAATTAAAAATCTAATTTCTACAATTTCAAAATCATTATTAACTCTAACAAAAAACCTCCAGATCTGAAGAAAGTGGACTAATCTTCACAATATTCCAATGAATTTTTTTTAACAACAAAAATAATAAAAATGTTCCTAGTGTTGCAAGACTATTTTAAATGGTTGTTTAGTCCACTCTCTTTGCCTTTAGTAGATGAGTGAAATCCATTTTCATAGGACTGGGAGAAATCTGCATAACTATTTAGAAGCATTTTCTATGTCAATCAAATGATTTTGAAAATAAACCCTACCACAGTAGTAAATTCCAAATGGACAGTAGAGTTGAACTTTATTATTGCATTTACAAACTAACAATTCTCATGAAAATCACTGCAGATAACAGTGAAACACTGATTAACCTAAATTTTCAAGAGAACGTACTCTGGCTCTTTGAATTTCTTAACTCAGAACATAAAAGGTTTATTAAAAAATCCTCCAAAAAATGCTTTGGTCTATGTTTCAGCCTTAATATTAACAGTAAATGAAATTCAACTGAAAAGTCATTAGACTGTTTGGTTCAGTTTTTATTTTATTACATGGTAGGATTTATACATTTGAATAAGTATTATCTTCCTCAAGATAATCACTATGAGACAATGGTCATATCAAAACCTACAGGAACTCTTCATTTAGAACTGCAGTTAGAATTACTTCATTGGCACAGAAAAAAAGTAGACTCATTATTTTATACTTTTTTCCTTTTTCTTTCTTATCAAACATAATACAAACAAGCTTGATCTTTCAATTTGTCCATGAGACAATATTTTTAAAAATTAAAGGAAAAAAAGTCACTAGTAAATATAAATATTTTAAAAACATGCTATTCACAAAAGAAATGCAAAATAAAATAAAAAACAAAAATGTAATGAACTGTGTGGTTGGAGTAAATGCATATGCTCTAAAGCTGATGATCCGATTGTAACACAGATTTTGATGTGGAACTTCTCACTGCTTTTAATATTAATTTAAAAAAATCATCCTTAGTTCATAGTCATATACCCTGTAATAAAATGTTGGTATACTGATATACCAAGCTTAGTAAACTTGGACAAATCTAGCCTGGACATCAGGTATAACTGACATATCATTTGACTATTTTGGGCCTCAGTTTCTTCATGGACTAAAGAGACTTCAGTGCACCTTTCATCTTTCATGTTCTAAACACCTACTTATTAAATTGATTATTTAAAAGTAATCCTATAAATCAATTTCTTTATTGTGATTTATCTTTCTTCCAAAGAGTATCACATTTTAAAACTCTGAGGGTATCATTAATATTTTGCTGTATAATACTACTTTGTTCTATAGTAAATTTGTCATTTCCTATAAATGAATTTTCATATGAACTTGAAGCTTTTTTTTTTTTTAAATTTTAGCAAAGGATTTGAAGAGATATAAATAAGGCCTTCTCATCATTTGGTTTTCATGAAGCCCTTTCCATTACTCAAAGGTCTAACAGTATATATTAAATTAATTTGAGGGCTTTTCCTTCAACCTATTCCATGATTACACATTCATACCAGCACTACTGTCATTCCATGTCATATTCCATCCTACACATCTGTTTGCAAAATTGTAATAAAAAAAAAAAGTACAGGAAGATGCTAACAGCCCTGAACTAGGGAAAGTTCCTACCTACTCAGAGACCTATAGTAGGCAAAGATTGATTGGAAAGTGTATTCCAAGGAGTTAACTAGATAAAGTGAAAATGATTCACCTCTATATAAATGCATGAGTACCATTTTACAGTATAAACTCTTAGCTATCAAACTATATTACATGCCCATGGGTATGGTAAAATATGTATAGAAATACAAAAAGATTAAGTTACACAATGAAATTCTCCTATACCTTTTGAACCCTTATCATATTATTGCTATATTAAGAACTGTGGAAACTGAATCCCAAACTTCTTTTCTGATATGCTATTCAGATTTGAAGGCTGGAAGTCAAGACCCAGGCTACTCTCTGCTTTTCAGCAATCCAATACTAGCAGAATTCTGAAAAGGTAGTTTCACCATTGCCACCCCTGAATAAAAAGGAAAGAGAATAGATGTCAGGTAATATCAACATCAGATGTCACAGGCAGTCATCAGGTTATTCTTTCAGCTGCTTACCAGTATGACTCCTTTTATGTACCATAAGCACATTGGGCCCAATGCAAACCATGCCACAGACGTCACATTTCAGTTTACCATTCGGAAGCCGGATTCCTCCCTCGCCTTGAAGCTCCTGGACTTTCCTGTTGTCAGCCACCTCGCTGCTATCAATTAGGGGTTCTTCTAGGCTGCTACCCTCATCATGGCCCCTGATCTCATCTTCACGGCTCAGGGGTTTCCTGTCACACTCTTCATCACTCTGCATTTCTAGCTTTACTGAATTTGCTGTAATTTAAAAATAAGAAAACAAAAAATTATAAATACATGTTATGTGTTCTCACCTATATCTATTTTCCACACAATGCCATTCTACTAATAAAGGTGGAAATGATATATTAACCAGAAAACAGTGCATTACAAACATAATATTAATACATACTGTGCTATATAACATTTTAGTTAGGTGCTGATGTGAAAGTGAAGATGTCTCAAGAAAGCTCTAGGTAAACAGAATAACCCTTAATTTCTGCAGAGTTATTTCTTTAACTCAGTTATTTACTTTTTAAGCAAGTTTGTAAATAATTCTGGTACTGGCTCTTCAGTTTGGCACTAAGGTCAATGAGATGAGTTAGGTTTATGGAAGAGACAAGATTAGATACTGCTTAACCCACTCAACCATGCCTCCACATAACTTAACAATCATTATATATACTTCATATTCTTGGTTTCACATCAGATTCCTTGTGTAAACCTGCTTCTGAACAGAGCAAGAAAACAACTCAGGATCTTAATCCAGCAAATGTCTTAAACATATGAAGACACACTGTGAAGGCAAACGTCTTAAAATCAGACTGAACACATATATGCAGTTAAGACCTGTAGGGCATGGTGTACAGATCTCATATGCCCTTAAGTCACTTTGCTTTTTATTTTCTATATAAAGAAGCTACTCTATGGAACATATTAGTCTGCAAATCAAAGTATCCAACTCTAATCTATGCACAGCAAAAAGCAGTGAATGACAAGAATGGCATAGCATGCATGCACACACTTGCGACTGTTAAGAAATTTAATGCCTTCTGTTTGCTGTTTTTGGATCATCCCACAGAAAAGTTGGAATTTTCTTAGCACAGCCCTCATTCTGGATTGCTGACAGAGTCTTTTCACAAAGAAGAAGCAAGCTTTAAATGAATACCAGTTTGTTGTTTTTTTTTTATCCAGTGATCTTGAAAATTTCTTAAGAAATCATATCAAAGTTACTGAGTAAAACATAAATTATTTGGTACTGCGTGAATAGGGGAAATATTTTCACAAAAAGGAAGTAAGTTCTTTTCTTTGCAATTGTTTTCTTAGAGAAACCGCACATTCTGTGATTTGTCATTAGTACTTATCACTACAGGCAGGGCTATCAAAATGGCTCCTCTCCTGCCTCCCGGATCTCTCCTTGGAGCTCCGCTGGTAACTAGAAGAGTGTGGTATAATGAGGAAACCACTGCATTTAGTAAGGGGACCTTGGCTCTAGTACTGGCTTTGACATTTATTGGCAGTATAATCTTGTGCTAATTATTTAACCTCTGAATCTTATGTCTTTCATTTGCTAATTGGAGATGAATTCAGAATACTAAATAACATTTGACTACCACAGTTTAGCTATTAAGTGTAGGGATTCTGTAACCACACTGCCTGGAATGAATATTAGCCATGACACTTCCTATACACAGCATCACCTTTAGCAAGTTACTGAAATTGTCTGTATCTTCTATAAAATGGGGATAATAGTATGATAATGATACTTCATAGGGTTGATGTGAACGTTAAATGAGTGAATATAGCAAATGTGCTTAGAACAGTAGCTGGAACATAGAAAACTCTCTAAAAGGAAGTGCAACTATTTTTCTCTAGACATATAGCACTCTGTTCCATAAGGTTTTTGTGAAGATCAATTAACTTGCATGTAAACTACTCTGAGTTATAAAGGGGTATGTGTTCTTCCTGAACTCATCTCTAATAGAGTCTCTACTACATTGAGTTTTACCCTGTTTACAAATTGGTACTGCCTTAATAAGAAGCCTGAGTGGCACGGTGGTTAAGCACTCAGCTGCAAACCGAAAGGTCGGCAGTTAGAACCCACCAGCCGCTCCATGGGACAAAGATGTAGCCGTCTGCTTCCATAAAGATTACAGCCTTGGAAACCCTGTGGGGCAGTTCTACTCTGTCCTACTGGGTCACTATGAGTGGGAATTGACTCGATGGCAATGGGTAATGGGACTGCCTTAATGGTTTTTGAGAAGAGTAGGGACAATGTTTTATCCATCTTAATATTACCAGCATCCCAGCAGGATCAAGAAATTTGTGGCCTACAGGTGTTCAGATAGTATTCACTGAAATGTTTTACTAAATTAATTAAGAATTTCCTTCTTTATACTTGGTGTTTCATGTTCAAAGAAGCCATGTACATAGCAAAGAATAAAGTCAAACATAAGGATAAAAATTAAGTCCTTTCTACTCGAAACTCACTATCCCTCAGTCCTTGCCTCAAAAGAAACCATTATTATCAGTTTCCAATTCAGAAGTATGTGTGTCTGTGTGTGTTTGTACACAAATGGGACTATACAATCTACTTGACCTGAACTTTGCTTTCTTCATTTAACAATATTTAATATTTCTCATACTAGTATATAGAAATCCATATCATTCTTTTTAATAGTTGCATACAGTTACACTTTATAAATGCACTATAAATTATTCATTTAGACTCTATTATTGGAAATTTACGGTTTTTCTTGTTTGTTGTTATTACAGACTTTAATAATGCCACACATAACTGTCTGATAGGTAAAACTTGGCATCTCACTATAGTTTTTAATCTGCATTTTTAAAATTATAAGTTGTATGTCTTTTTCTATGTTTAAATGTTTTATTATTTTACCTCCTAAAAACTATCAAAATTCTTTGACCATTTTTCCTGCTAGGATGTCAGTCTTTTCTTATTGATTTTAAATGGTCTTTTTCCTACACTAAGGAAATTTGCCCTCCGAATACAATGTTTTGCAAATATTTTGGTTTATCTTTTTACTCAGGGCATTTTTTGAGATAAATGTTAACTTTACATGTTGAATTTTTTAAGCTTTTCAGTTATGGCTTCTGGGTTCTGCATCTTGCTTCAGAAGGTTTTTCCACACTCCAAGAAATTCTATAATATTTTTTCTGGTATCAAAGATTTTTCTAATCAATGCAAGACAGTATCTCACTATTGGTTACCCTATGTAGTCTCATATTTTGTTCATAATTCTCGTTTGAAAGAAAAATTAAGAAAGGAAACATAAAAATAATGTCATTGTGACTTTTTACCCACCTGTGTGTAAACTGCCCCACACATTTATTTTAAGTGATTTCCTAAAGACTAGAAGCTTTGCAGCAGTGCCATCATCTATTCTTCTGAACTAGTCAACGCCTGATAAGCTACATTTAATAAGCCTAAAGTCTGCCAGGATTCTATTTCAGGAAGTGGAGAAATGTATACCTAAAAGAGTAGTTTTTGAGTCTAAAACTGAGCCCTTTTAAATTTTAAAATATGGTAGCATTATGGTGAGTATGACTTGATGTTTCAAGATTAAATTGTTATATTTTCCCTAGTGAAAAACATTAGAACAGCAATATCAAAACACAGTATCAGACATGAATAAAAATATCACTTTAAGAATTAGTGGATATTACAAGTATTCTTAGAACACTATTCACAGAAGAATACACTAGAAATGCGTAAAAAAGTATCCGACAGACAGAAACAGAGAGGAAATAGTAAAGCTACAATAATCTTTTCTCTAGCAATATTACACTCTAAGGAATTATATGCCTATCATATATGGATGTGCACATACTATTGCTGTATTGATATAGTATATCAATGAAATGCAACACATTTTTGCATACACATATCTAAGATTAAATTTTGCATATATATGGTGGTTATGTGCAAACATAATCCCACCCTAATTAATCTTTAACTCATCTCACTATAATTAGATTGAAATTGTAAACAAAAAAGCAATAAATTAAACAATGTATTCTTTGAATTTTAATAGTCCAATAAAAGTTCTTCCTACACAGATATAAAAGAAATGCTCCGATAGTTTATTTTCACTATTTAAGATGGTTCTAATTAATGCAGAACACTTAATATTTTAACTCATTAATGCTTAAATTATATTGTTTGGTAAACTTAAGTAAATTATAAACTAAATTATAACTGTACTTATTAACAAAAGTTTTATTATGATTATTTATAGCATTAATATGGGAAGTTATTATAACTAGTAATCGATGTACAATAATCACAGTACTTTAGTTTTCAAATATTTGAAATTAGATTTTTTTCCTTTATTATATGAAATTTATTTAACAATTTGGTAACAGAAACACATTCTCCTTAATGGGCTAACTTCTATGGAGATGAGAACTTGTTAGTTTGAATGTAATGAAATCTTGTTATTACAAATCTCAATACTAAGACTTATTTATCAAGTGCGTTTCCCTTATATGAAATGTAGGATATAAAATGTAGGTAAATTTGTGGGAATTTACAAACATTATTGTATACTGACAGGCAATAATGGTTTAATAAAAACAATATTTTGTCAGTATAAATTATTAGCAATGAAAAGGGGATGTGAAATAAGATTTTAATTAATTGATCTATTTGTTCTTTGTTATTCAATAACCCTGGTGGCACAGTGGTTAAGAGCTATGGTGAGCTACGGCTGCTAACCTAAAGGCTGGTAGTTCAAATCCACCAGCTGCTCCTTGGAAACCCTATGGAGCAGTTCTACTCTATTCTATAGGGTCGCTATGAGTTGGAATCGACTCGACGGCAGTGGATTTGTTTTTTTTTAGTATTCAGTAACGCAAGAAGCCTCGGTGGTGAAACAGTTAAGTTCTGGGCTGCTAACTAAAAGGTTGGTGGTTCAAACCCACTCAGTAGCTCTGCAAAAGAAAGACCTACCAATCTGCCCATGTAAAATCACAGCCTACGAAACTCTATGGGGCAGTTCTACTCTGTCACATGGGATCGCTATGAGTGGAAATAGACTCGATAGCACCTAATTGCAACAATTCAATAATGCAGGCACTGTTTGAAGATTTTCAATAAACAAAATAAAGATGTTTAATGTAAATATCTTTTGTTTTCTTAACTTAAAGGAGATTATGTGGTAAACATTTTAAAACAAAGGACAAGTCAAATTTTAAAGCATTAATGATCAAGAAAAAGCTGTTTTGTTCATAGT